CACCTAGCCACCGCCCAGCCACCACCCAGCCACCACCTAGCTAGCTAGCCCTCAGCTAGCTAGCCAGCTAGCCACCAGCTGGCTAGCTAGCTAGCTAGCTAGCTAGCCCCCAGCTAGCTAGCTAGCTAGCTAGCTAGCTAGCCAGCTAGCCAGTGTGTTGCGGCGCAGTCGCTGGGCCACCTGACTACGGCGGTGACGACTGCGGCGCTGCACAAATCCAATGAAGTCCTTTGCCTCGCCTCGAAGTGGAAAAAAGACAGTCTCAAACTAGTGAGTCATTTTAGCAGCAGCTAGCCAAAACTTGGCGCCCCGCAGCAGCAGCTAGCCAAAAGTCGGGGCCTTTGGGGGCCCCGCAGCAGCAGCTAGCCACGCTGCTGCAGCGGGGGCCCCGCAGCAGCAGCTAGCCAAAGTTTGGGCCCCGGGGGGGCCCCACAGCAGCAGCTAGCCAAAAAATGGCACATGGGGGGCCCCGCAGCAGCAGCTAGCCACAACGCAGCAGCAGCAGCAGCAGCTAGCTACACATTAAGGAATTTGGGGGCCCCGCAGCAGCAGCTAGCCACGATGCAGCAGCAGCAGCTAGCTACACATTAAGGAATTTGAGGGCCCCGCAGCAGCAGCTAGCCAAAAAAGGGGACTTGGGGGGCCCCCCTAGCAGCAGCTAGCCAAGAGAGGGGTTTGGGGGGCCCCCTCAGCAGCAGCTAGCTGGGGGCCCCCCTTTGCGTCTTTATGTCTTTTTGTCTTTTCTTTTTTCTTCTTTTTGTTTCTTCTTTTGCGTCAGTCTTTTTCACATCTTTGTTTGTTTGCTTCTTCAAATTTCCTTTCTTTTGAGCCTATTTACCCGCTGCTGCTGCTGCTGCTGCTGCTGCTGCTGCTGCTGCTGCTGCTGCTGCTGCAGGTGCACCTGCCCTCGGCGACAGTTTTCCAGGACTGGCCGACGCCCAAAACGCCGCTTCATTATGTCACCTCTGCTGCCTTCAGGCAAGGGTTTTGCTGCTGCTGCTGCTGCTGCTGCTGCTGCTGCTGCTGCTGGTTTGCTGCTGCTGCTGCTTTTGCTGCTGGTTTGCTGCTGCTGCTGCTGCTGGTTTGCTGCTGCTGCTGCTGCTGGTTTGCTTCTGATGCTGATTTGGTGCTTCTGCTGCTGGTGCAGCTTTGCTGGTGATGCTGGTGTTGTTTTGCTGCTGCCGCTTTCTGTTATTGCTGCTGCTGCTGCTGCAGTTTTGCTGCTGCTGCTGCTGCCGTCGTGCTGCTCGTGTAGTCTTGCTGCTGCTGCTGCTTTGCTGGTGCTGCTGCTGCTGCCTTGCCCCATGTTCTCCGCCCCCGTCACTGGCTTTTGAACTTGCTGCTGCTGCTGCTGCTGCTGCTGCTGCTGCTGCTGCTGTGGGGCCCCACACTTGCTGCAGCGAGCGGCGAGGCCTCTTCGCCGTGGGCAACGCAGCTGGCCGCGTGCTGCTGTACCATTTGAAGGACCTCAGTTAATTTAAAAAAGAAATAAATAAAAAAAGAAATAAAAAGGAACAAAAATGATTTAAAATAAAATATATTAAATGACACAAAGAGGCACAAGGGGGGCCCCACAAACAGCACCTCAAACCCCTTCGGGGCCCCCCCTACAGCTCTCAAGCCAGGGGGCCCCTTTAGGGGCCCCACGGGGCCTCTGGGGGGCCCCCAGGGGCCCCCAGGGGGCCCCAGGGGGGCCCCTTGGGGGGCCCCCTGGGGCCCTCCTTTAGGGGGGCCCCCAGGGAACCCACCATAGTCAACTCTCACTTAGGGGCCCCCAAAAAGAACCCTTTTAGGAATACTCTTGTCCTGTACCCTGGGGGCCCCTCCTCTAGGGGCCCCCTGTAGGGGCCCCTTCCTAGAAGCTTTCCTTTAGGGGCCCCCTGAAGGGGGCCCCTCTTCTAGGGGCCCCCTGAAGGGCCCCCCACCTGTAAGGGCCCCCTGTAGGGGGCCCCTCTCTAGGGGCCCCCTACAGGGGGCCCCACTCTAGGGGCCCCCTGCAGGGGCCCCCACCAATAGGGGCCCCCTTTAGGGGGCCCCTCTCTAGGGGCCCCCTTTGGGGGGCCCCTTTGAGGGTACTTAGGGCTGCCTAGGGAGGCACAGCAAGGGAACAATGGGGGCCCCTTGGGGGCCCCCGGGGGGCCCCTGGGGGGCCCCTCTCTGGGGGTCATTGAACTGTGGGGGCCCCCAGGTCCTCCTGGGGTCTTTTTTGATTATAAATTCATCTTTATGCTTTTATTTGTTCATTTATTTTTCTTTTTTGTTCTTTTTTGTTAATCAGTTTATTATTTTTGCTCCTTTTTGTCAATTAGTTTATTATTTTAGTTCATTTAATTCATTAATTCCCTTTTTGTTCCTCCATGATCTCCTCTTTGGTGTTAATTCTTTTTTTTTTTAAATAAATGGATCTTTTCTTTTCTTTTGTTTTGGATTTATCCTTTTTGTTCTTTTTTATTTATATTCACTTTGTGCCACTTTTGATCCTTTTTTCTCAATTCTGTTTTTATTTAATTAATTTTATTTTTTATTTCTTTTTTGATTTCCTTTTCATATTTTGCATTCTAGTTTATTATTCCGTCTTTTCTGCTTCTTTTAAATTTCTGATTTGTCTTTGGAAATCAAATTCATCTTTTTTGTTTTCTGGATTATTTTTTTCATCTTTTTGGATATTTTCATTTTTATTATCTTTTGGGTTTATTTTTGCTTCTTTATTTTCATTTGCATTTTCGGATTAATTTATTTCCTGTCGGTGGGATGATAAGCCACACGGGGTGCCTGCTGCTGCTGCTGCTGCTGCTGCTGTTGCTGCTGCTGCTGCTGCTGCTGCTGCTGTTTAGGCATTTAACGATTTCAGTAGAGCAACATAAATAATTATTTATCATTTTTGAATTCTTGATCTGCTTGCAGATTCAGTTTGGAGAAAATATCCATTCGATTTGCAGCGCACTTCAAATTCAACTTGCAATGATTTCAGAAGATGAATTTGCAGAAAACTTCGAATTTAAATTCTAAAAAGTCCAAATTTAATATTTAAAAGAATAAAAGTTCAATTTGAAGAAGACTGGAGATTCAATTTGCAAGAAACTGGAAATTCAACTTGCGGGAAAGGGAAATTCAAGTTGCAACAAGTCGCCCGACAGCAGAAATTTAGTTTGCAAAAAACTCGAAAAGGAACTTCAAAGGACTTTTTATTTATTTGCAAAAGACATTTAATTTAATTTACAAAAGAAATTCAATTTAATTTGCAAAAGAAATTCAATTTAACTTGCAACAACCCTCAAGTTCAAGTCGCAGCATTCCCCGAATTCAAGTCTATGTCACCCCAACCCTAAACCCTAAACCCTAAACCCTAAACCCTAATTCCATTTTCAACTTGCATTTCCGCCTCCAGAAGGCGTGATTTCGACTAAAGATTGAAATTTTAAATTGCAAAAGACTTTAAACTCGATTTGCGAAAAATATAAACACCTTGAAGGAGAATTTGAATTCAATTTGCGAGTTTTCGTAAACTCGATTTGCAATTTGCCTCGATTTCACTCCGCAAAAAACTTCAACTTCACTTTGCAAATGAATTTAAATTCAATTTGCAAAAGAAATTAAATTCAAATTTCGGAATTTCCCGACATAATTTCGGGGTTTTACAAATTCAAGTTTCCTTTCCCCCCGCATTCAATTTGCAAATGTGTGCGAATTGGGCTTTAAATTGACGACAAATTCGCCTTTGAATTGACGATTAAGTTATTTTTTATTCAAAATAAGTTTAATTTTGAATTTTGAAGAAGTTTTATTTGCAATTTGTTGAATTTTGAAGCCCATCTTGTACAGATTCAACTTGTGAACACTGGGCTGTGGGAAGTGCCTGGGTGCACCGGCGAGCCGGTCTCGGCCGCGTCACTCCAGCCAAAGAAGCTGCAAATTTCAAATTAAATGCAAATTCCATTTTGAAATGCAATTAAAAGGTAATTCGCTTTAAACATTTCGGAAAATATTCCGCAAAGGCCTTCAGCAGCGCGGGAGGGCCCTGCTGGGCGGGTCTCGCCACAGCGACGCGGTGTACCTACACCTCCGCGAAAACTGCGAAACAAAGAAAGCCCTTTTCATTTATTTCCCTCACAAATAAAAATAAAGGACTTCAACGCGCAAACACTCGGGGCAAAGGAGGGGCTGGGGTCTGCAGCCGCCGCTGCCTCCGATTCTGCTGGGGGCCCCCCGGGGGCCCCCAAGGGGCCCCTGTCTTTCCATTTTCGTCCCTGCAAAGTACCCTCCAAGCTGCGGACTTTTGAAAGGCACTAACTGGCCTAGGGGGCCTCTTAAGTGGGGCCCCGGGGGGCCCCCTCCACTCCCGCTGTGCCCTTTTTTGTTATATGCCCCTTTGGGGGCCCCCAATGCTGGCGAGGCCCCTCTCCCCCGAGGGGCCCCCGGGGGCCCCCCCCCAGGCCCCTCAAAGGGGCCCCCTTTTGACCCAAGAGCTGCCCCGCAGCTGCCTGGCTTTGGCCCTGCAGCAAGCTGTCCCCAGGGGCCCCCCAAACCCTCCTCAGTACCCTGGGGGCCCCCCTCTTCTGAGGGGCCCCTCTCCGGGGGGCCCCCCCCCTGGCCTGGCCTTCTTGGGCCCTGCCTTTCCCCCGGAGCTCAGCAAGAACTTGTGTGCGGCTTTTCTAAACACCAGCCCTTCTGGGGGGCCCCCCGGGGCCCCTGGGGGGCCCCCCGGGGCCCCCTTGACCTTTCTGCCGCTGTCGTTTTTGGCTGCTGCGCTGCCGGAAGTGCTGAGCGACGTGGAGTTCGTTGCGGCCCATTTGCAGCTTGACCCTGACCCAGCAGCAGCAGCAGCAGCAGCAGCAGCAGCAGCAGGCAGCAGCAGCAGCAGCAGCTCGCCGCCCAGCGGCAAAGAAGAGGGGCCCCCGAGGGACAGGGGGCCCCTCCAGCCGCCCATAGTTAGGAGGGGGCCCCCCAAGGCAGATGTGCCCTTGGCGAGGCGCAGGCGGCTAGACACGCCCACTCAGCTGCAGCAGCAGCAGCAGCAGCAGCAGCAGCAGCAGCAAAAGCTGCAGCGGCTGCAGCTGACGCCCCCTGGGGGCCCCCTGACGCCGCTGCAGCGTTTTGGGGCGGGGACTCCGCAGCAGCCCGCAGCAGCAGGGGCCGCGGGCCACCTGCTGCTGCTGCGGTATGCTGCAGCAGTGAGCAGCAGCAGCAGCAGCAGCAGCAGCAGCAGCAGCAGAGTCACATGGGATGAAGTCCTGAGGCCCGTTGCTGTTGAGACGCAGCAGCCAGGGCCCCCCCGGGGGGCCTCTGCTTCGGTCCCTCGGAGCCCGCTTGGCCCCCTCACGACTCCGAAGCAGCAGCAGCAGCAGCAGCAGCAGCAGCAGCAGCAGCAGCAGCAGCAGCAGCAGCAAAGGATGCGCTGCGTCTTCGTTGGAGTCTCAGGGGTACTTCTTCAGGGGCCCCTCGAGGGGCCCCCGAGGCCCTCCTCGGCCCTTCCGGCCTTTCCTGCATGCAGTGCTGCAGCATATGCGCAGCTGTGCTCCATGATCAGCAGCAGCAGCAGCAGCAGCAGCAGCAGCAGCAGCATGCTTTCTGTGCTGCCGCCGCCTTTGCGGGCTGCTGCTGCTGCGCGGCTGCAGCCTGCGAACGCCTCGCCAGCAGCAGCAGCAGCAACAGCAGCAGCAGCACCGGCAACACCGGCACCAGCAGCAGCAGCAGCAGCAACACCAACGGCAGCAGCAACAGCAGCAGCAGCAACAGCAGCAGCAGCAGCAGCAGCAGCAGATGCTGCTGGTCCTCCCGAGCTCAAGGAGACACAAGGGACAAAAAAGGGGCCCTCAAAAATGAAGCGGCTTTTGGGGGCCCCCAGCAGCAGACAGCGAGCTGCTGCTGCTGCTGCTGCACGGCGGCTGCGCAGGCTGCTCAAGCAGCAGCAGCAGCAGCAGCAGCAGCAGCAGCAGCAGCAGAACAAGCGAGTTGCTGCTTTGCTGCTGGCAGCAGCTCAGGAGCAGCAAGGCAGCTGGTCCTCCGGCGACGAGTCCGCGGCACATGAGGTTGAACTCAGCAGCAGCAGCAGCAGCAGCAGCAGCAGCAGCAGCAGCAGCAGCGAGGATGAAGCAGATCGGGAACTTCCGAGAGACACAAATGGAACAAGCGGCGCTGCCTCAGCAGCAGTTCCCTCATGTGCTGCCATGGGGGCAGAAGCAGCAGCAGCAGCAGCAGCAGCAGAGTCAGCAGCAGCAGCAGCAGCAGCAGACGCAGCAGCAGCGCAGCTAGCTGCAGGGGCCCCCCCGGGGGCCCCCAATCTCAGCACCCCCCCAGCAGAGTCTTCAGCTGCTGCCGAGGGGCCCCCCACAACTGGGGGCCCCCCTGCAGCAGCAGGGGGCCCCCCTGTTGCTGCTGCGGGGCCCCCCGGGGGCCCCCTTTTGCACAGGGGGCCCCCGGAGAACCTGCTGCGCTGCCGCTGTCGCTGCGGGACCCCTGGGCAGCATTTGAGGAAGCAAAAGAGTGGCTGGAGTTGATGGCGGTGCACTGCAGGCTGCGGCGAAAGCGTAAACCCTAAACCCTAAACCCTAAACCCTAAACCCTAAGATAGTGCACGCAGCGGGGCAGGGGCGTTTGCTGCTGATGGCTGCCAAGCGAAGAAGGAATGCGCCTTTGTTGCTGTTGCTGCAGCAGCCCCACCGCCTCCAGGCAGCGCGAAAAGCAGCAGCAGCAGCAGCAGCAGCAGCAGCAGCAGCAGCAGCAGCAGCAGCAGCGGGGAGCGCTGGGAGCTGTGCAGGAGCTTCGAAGACTGCGAAGAGGCGAGGCAGTTTGTGGAGGCTTTTGGCTTCAAGTGGGTCTCAGTTTTTTTCTTTTTTGCAGAATTATAAATTTAAAATAAATATAAAAATATTCAAAAGAATTAAAGTTTTAAATTAAATCAGTTTCCAAATCCCTCGACGAGGGACCTGCATGCGGCGCCGGAGTGTACGTACACCGCGCACGCCGTCAGGCCGCGCCGCACGAGCAGCAGCAGCAGCAGCAGCAGCAGCAGCACAGAAGCAGCAGCAGCACAGCAGCAGCAGCAGCACAGCAGCAGCAGCAGCAGCAGTAGTCAGTTATATTTTGAAGCAGCTAGACACAATAGGCAGCCCCGCGCATGCAGCCTCCCAAGCAGCTCTGTGGGCTGAAAGACCTCAAAGAGCCCTGCTCTAGCAGCAGCAGCAGCAGCAGCAGCAGCAGCATATGCAGCAGCAGCAGCAGAGGCAGCAGCAGCAGCAAAAACGGCTCAAATGCAGTTCAAAGGCGCCCGAGCTGCAGAAGAATTGGATTTCAATTAAAGACATTTCTGTCCCTCTTTGAAAACACAAAAGTGTTTAATTAAATTAAAATGTTTTTTAATTTAATTTTGCAAAATTGAAAAAGTGAAAATGCGTTTCCGGGAGAGTGTCTGCAGCCAGGTGTACGTACACCTGAGGGGCGGCGCGCCTTGCACGCAGCAGCAGCTGCTGCTGTTTCGTGCGGCTGCTGCTGCTGCTTCGCTTGGCTGCTGCTGCTGCTGCTGCTGCTGCTGCTGCTGCTGCGTCGTTTGGCTGCTGCTGCTGCTTCGCGCGGCTGCTGCAGCAGCTCGCCGTCTGCTGCTGCTGTTTGCTGCTGCGCTGCAGAAGGACTCTCGCAGCAGATTCTGGAGACCGAAAAGTCAGCCCAAGGGGCAGCTCCAGCCAGCCCCGGGGGGCCCCCTGCAGCAGCAGCAGCAGCAGCAGCAGCAGCAGCAGCAGCAGCAGGGGGGCCCCCGGGCCTAGGGGCCCCACAGTTGAAGTTTTTGGCTGTGGGGCCCACGAGGCCTGTGGGGCCAAAATGAGGGTCATTGGGGGCCCCCACAAGAGGGCCCCCTACAGGGCTGAGAGGAACAGCCGGCCCCACAGCCACGCTGACTAGCTAGCTAGCTAGCTAGCTAGCCAGCCAGCTAGCTAGCTAGCTAGCTGGCCAGCTAGCTAGCTAGCTAGCGGGTCGGCTAGCTGGCTAGCGAACTCCTCAGCAAGAGAAGCGCCGATCCAGCTTCTGAGGCGCCTATTTAGGGGACCCGCTATCCAGCCAGCTAGCTGGCTAGCTAGATAGCTAGCTGGTTGGCTGGCTAGCTAGCTGGCTAGATAGCTAGATAGCTAGCCAGCTAGCTAGCCAGCCAACTGGCCAGCTCGAGGACCTTCTGCTGCCCGTCGAGGCCCAGACGGGCTAGCTGAGGAGCTAGCTAGCTGCTGCAGTGGCTAGCTAGCTGCTGCAGTGGCTAGCTAGCTGCTCCAGCAGCTAGCTAGCTCTTCCGGTGGCTAGCTAGCTCTCCGCTACCCACCAACTTGACAGCGAGCTTAGAGAGGTGCTGCCGTCAGCCAGTCCCAACGCATAGCCTGGCTAGCTGGCTAGCCAGCCAGCTAGCCATTAGCGTTGCCAGCTAGTAAGCAGTGTGGCTAGCTAGCTAGCTAGCTAGCTGGCCAGCTAGCCATTAGCGTGGCTAGCTAGCCAGGGACCGTTTAGCCCCCTTTTTGCTGCTAAAGCTTCACTGCGACTTTCTCTCAACTAATTCTCTGGCGCTGCCGGACTGCGTAGCTAGCTAGCTAGCTAGCCAGCTAGCTAGCAGTGAAGTTCAGCTAGCTAGCCACAGACTCAACTAGCTAGCTAGCTGGCTAGCTAGCTGGCTAGCTGTCATCTAGGTGCACCTTCGCGTCAGCAAACGAAAGAGACCTTAAAGAGCTTTTCAACTCGCAGTGTTGCACCGCACCAAGTTCACAGGCAGCTAGCTAGCCAGCCGGCCACCGCAGCGCTGCCGCAGCCACCAGCACCAGGACGCGCCCCGGTGCTGCCAGCAGCACCCGCCCGCCGCCGCCGCTGCAGCAGCTGCTGCTGCTGCAGCAGCTCAACGGTAAGACTTCTGGTAGCGCGCGCGGGCCCCAGGGCCCCCGAACTTCTTCGGCTCGCAACGGCGAGGGTCTGCAACGACTAAAGAGCGGTCGCAGGCCACGAGGGCGTCTCGGATTTCGCGTTTGGTGGCTTCGTCCACGTCTGCGCGCAAACCCTAAACCCTAAACCCTAAACCCTAAACCCTAAACCCTAAACCCTAAGCCCTGGGCGCTGGGCGGGCCTGGGCGCTGCCTGGGCGGGCGGGGGGCGGGGCGCCGCCTCCAGGGCGCGAAACGAAACGCGGGGCAGACGCCGGCGGCGTTTGGAGAGCCAAACCCTAAACCCTAAACCCTAAACCCTAAACCCTAAACCCTAAACCCTCACACTTCTGGTGGTAGGCCACAACCCCCTTGGCAATGGCCTGGCGAATGGCGTAAACTTGCGAGACGAAACCGCCGCCCCGAACCCGCACGCGAATGTCAATGCCCTCGAAGCGGTTCTTGCCTGCCGCGCAAACCCTAAACCCTAAACCCTAAACCCTAAACCCTAAACCCTAAACCCTAAACCCTCGCCGGAGGGCTCCGCCGGACTGCTGCTCCCCGCGGCATCCCCGGCAGGCGCCCAACCCCTGCAGCGCCCAACCCAACCCCTGCCCAGCCCAAACCAAACCCCAAACCCCAAACCCTAAACCCTAAACCCTAAACCCTAAACCCTCACCCAGCACCAGGATGGACTCGCAGGCCTTCACCCGCAGGGCCTCGGGCTTCAGCAAATGCAGGGGGGCCCCATTGACCCTTATGAGGCCCTGGCCTTCAGTGCAGAGGGCAACAGCAACAGCAGTTTTCTTGCGGCCGAAGGTCTGCACCCTCCGGGTCCTCCGGGCCTCAGACATCTTCTGCAGCAGCAGCAGCAGCAGCAGCAGCAGCAGCAGCAGCAGCAGGTGAGGGGCCCCGGCGAAAAGGGGGGCGAGTGTTCAGCAAGAGGAGGTCTGTTTAGGTGCACTGCGATTCAGGTGTACAGCCACCGCACAGCCCATGCATGTGCAGCAGCAGCAGCAGCAGCAGCAGCAGGAGCGGCGGCTGCTGCTGCTGCTGCTGCTGCAGCTGCTGCTGCTGCCGTTGCTGCCTTGACGCATGCGCTCGTGCTAAAGAATACGAAAAGGAAAAAGAATACCGCTGGAGAGGCCAGGCCCCGAATCCGCAGTGCGGGGCGCAGCAGCAGCAGCAGCAGCAGCAGCAGCAGCAGCAGCAGCAGCAGCAGCGGGGGCTACCTTGGTCGAGTCTGGAGAAGGAGGCAAACAGAAAGACAAACGAGGAGGGTTTCCTTCAAGTAATAAGTTTAATGGCGCCGTGGCGCGTTTGCTGCTGCTGCTGCTGCAGTCGAGGCTGCAGCAGCCCTGCAGCAGCCGCGGCTGCTGCTGCAGCGGCTGCTGTGGGGAAGAAGTACAGCAGCCGCAGCAGCAGCTGCTGCTGCTGCTGCATGCTGCTGCTGCGCTTCTCGGGAGTTCTTTTTCTCTTCTTTAGACCTTTCGTGGCTGCTGACCTTGAGCTTGCTGCTGCTTCCCCGAGGTACGGTTACCGTGCTGCTGCTGTCCGCTGCAGCGGAGCTGCTGCTGCTGCTGCTGCGTAAAGTTCTTAAATCTGTTTTTTTGCTGAATTAAAACTTTTCGTTTGCCCATTTGCCCCCCACGGCTCTAGGCCTCCCGAGCGGCCCCGCGCGCTGCCCGGCACTCCGTTCTAGGGTTTAGGGTTTAGGGTTTAGGGTTTAGGGTTTAGGGTTTAGGGTTTCGCCTCCAGACCCCTGCATTTGCCCCTCTCCCTTCCCAGCCGTTGCCGCCGCACTTGCCCCGCGCGGCCAGGCCCGGGCCGGGTGTATTGCCTAGGGTTTGGGGTTTAGGGTTTAGGGTTTAGGGTTTAGGGTTTAGGGTTTAGGGTTTGCAGGCGAAGATGGTGAGCCGCTCGGCCCAGCTGCCCAACGCCCACTTCCGCAAGGACTGGCAGCGCTTCGTCCGCACCTGGTTCGACCAGCCCGCGCGCAAGCAGCGCCGCAGACTCCAGCGACAAAAAAAAGCTGCCAAACTCGGAGTCCGGTCAGCTGCTGCTGCTGCTGCTGCTGCTGCGGGTGGTGCTGCTGCTGCTGCTGCTGCTGCTGCGGGTGGTGCTGCTGCTGCTGCGGGTGGTGCTGCTGCTGCTGCGGGTGCTGCTGCTGCTGCTGCTGCGGGTGGTGCTGCTGCTGCTGCGGGTGGTGCTGCTGCTGCGGGTGCTGCTGCTGCTGCTGCGGGTGGTGCTGCTGCTGCGGGTGGTGCTGCTGCTGCGGGTGGTGCTGCTGCTGCTGCGGATGGTGCTGCTGCTGCGGGTGGTGCTGCTGCTGCAATGGTGCTGCTGCTGCAATGGTGCTGCTGCTGCTCTTGCTGCTGCAGTGGTGCTGCTGCTCTGCTGCTGCTGCTTGTGCTGCTGCTGCTTGTGCTGCTGCTGCTGCGGCGTGGAAGCGGGCGGCGGAGTGGTCAGTTGCGGACTGTACGCAAGCCTGTGGCGCAGCCAGACGCGGCTGAGGGCCCATTGCTGCTGCTGCTGCTGCTGCTGCTGCTGCTGCTGCTGCTGCAGACCGTTGGGCCTGCTGCGGCCAGCTGTGCGCTGCCCCACGCAGAAGTACAACATCAAGCTGAGGGAAGGGCGCGGCTTCACCCTGGAGGAGCTGAAGGTGCGTCGCTGCTGCTGCTGCTGCTGCTGCTGCTGCTGCTGCTGCTGCTGCTGCTGCTGCTGCTGCACGCGGGCAGCTAGCTTGCTGCTGCTTGCTGCTGCAGGCCGTGGGCATTTCCCCCCGAGTGGCCTTGTCCATTGGCATTGCTGTGGACCACCGCCGCCGCAACAGAAGCCAAGAGTCTCTTAACACAAATGTGAATCGCCTCAAACTCTACCTCAGCAAACTGGTTCTCTTCCAGGTCCGTTCTTTGCTGCTGCTGCTGCTGCTGCTCTTCTGCTGCTGCTGCTGCAGCAGGGTCTCGTGCTGCTGCGTCTGCTGCTCTTCTGCTCCTCCTGTTGCCAGTTTGCTGCACTTTGCTGCGTTTCCTGGTGCTGCGGCTGCTGCTCTTGCTGCTGCTGCTCTTGCTGCTGCTGCTCTTGCCGCTGCTGCTGCTGCTTCGATTCGAATTGTTTGTTTAATGGCTTTTTTGAAAAGTTTCTTTTTGCTGCAGCGCGGGTCTAAGGCGAAGAAGGGTTTGGCTGGCGTGCCTGCGGACACCCCCAAGTCGCAAATTCAAAACGTGAAACAGGCGAAAATTGCGGATTCGCTGCCGATCGAGCGGCCCCGGAAGAAGATCCGCGTGAGTTTTTGGGAAATAAAAGAAATAAAACATTAATTTTGCAAAAAAATGGAAAAAAAACGAAGAAAAATGATCAAGTGGAAGGCGATCGGCGGCGATCGCCGGCGGCCGCCGCCCGAGCTGCCTGTACACCCCAACTCTTCAGGTGTACAGACACCTCAGCAGCTGCAGCAAAACAAAAGGGCTTTTGATGATCACTTTTATTATTTCGCAGCCTCAAAAGGCAATGGCGTTTTCGAAATCTGCAATGCTGATGCCCTCTGCTGCGCCGGCCGAGCTAGGGTTTAGGGTTTGCGAGCGCTAGGGTTTGCGGGAGCTAGGGTTTAGGGTTTGCGGGGGTTTGCGAGGGTTTCGGTTTTGCTGCTGCTGCTGCTGCTGAGGGTTTGCAGGCCAGGGTGATAACGGAGGAAGAGAGGAAGTTCCGCGCCTATGCCACTCTCAGGAAGCAGCTCAGAGACGCGAAGAACGTGAGGGTTTAGGGTTTAGGGTTTAGGGTTTAGGGTTTGGATAAGTTCTGTAGATGGGTGCGGGGGCGAGGGGCTGGCGAGGCAGCCGAGGGTTTGTAACTAAGGCCGAGGGTTTAGTTGGGGTTGCAAGTGAGGTTTTCTCGGGGTGTAGGGTTTAGGGTTTAGGGTTTAGGGTTTAGGGTTTGCGCTTGTGCTTCTCAGGTTGGCAAGCACGCCAAGAAGCTCGCAGAGGAAGCAGAGGCAGCAAACAAGTAAATAAACCCTTGAGCTTTCTTCTTGCTGCAGCAGCGCTGCAGCAAGCTGCTGCAGCAGCGCTGCAGCAAGCTGCAGCAGCAGCAACCCCACCAAAACACCACCCCGGCAGCTCCTGGCGCCCGCCCATCTGCACTGTGGGCGGGTTGGGGGGCCCCCCGGGGGCCCCAACTTTTGTTCTTTTTGTGCAAGGGACAGCTTTGAATATTTGGGTTTGGACGAGTTTGCATGCGGGCTGCTGAGGTGTACGTACACCGTAGAGTTCAGCAGTTGGGGTGTACAGACAGAGGCAGCAGCAGCAACAAAAGCTGCCAACTAATTTGACCCCACAAATGTGTATTAATTAGCGCAGAGACAAATAGATAAAGAGACGAAGTTTATGCAGAGAGGCACAGAGCTGAGGCAGCAGCAGCTGCTGCTGCTGCTGCTGCAGCAGCAGCAGAGAGCTCTTTTGCTGCTGCAGCGTGCCAGCCTGTTGAGCTAATTGCTCTTGCTGCAGCTGGCGGGGCCTGGGCAGCCGCAGCGAAAGGGAATAACTGGAAAAGAGCTTTAAATGGAGATTTAGAATTAAAATAAAATGCAATAAATTAAAAGTTAAGACAAAGTGCAGCAAATTGAGTGGCTTTTACCCGGAGCTGCTGCTGCTGCTGCTGCTGCGAGCCCCGGGCGTGGGCTGGAGGGCGGGGGTGAGGCGGGAGAGATGAGCGGTCTTTGGGGTCTTTTTGGAGCTCTCGACTTCGAAAAAAAGATTTTTGTTTTTAATTTTGCAAATTAAACAATTAAATTTATTATTTAAAGGCATTAAGTGCAGCAGCGGCGGGCGGGTGGGCTGTTTGCTGCCCCTGTACAGGTCTACACACTACACCCAGCACGGCCTCTGAAGCTTTATTTCGTCGAAATACCTGCAGTTTAGTGTCCAGTTAATTTGCTCAATTGTTTATTTATTTTATTTATTTTATTGTTTTATTTGTTTTGTTTATTTATTTGCAAAAAAGTCTCATGTCTGTCTCGTCGATTCGCTCTTTCTCGGAGCCCTAGGGGGGAGGCCGCACAGCTGCCGGCGCTGTCGCCAGCCCCAGTCTTCACCGAATTTCCGCACATTTCACCTTTTCTTTGGAACTGAATAATTATTTTTATTATTTGTTTCTTATTTGGAGGTTTTTTTCCGCCTTTAGTGCCGCGTTTCCTTGCAGATCGCTAGCTAGCTATTTTCTAGGCCACTGGCGAGCCCCATTGCAGTGTCTCAGCACTGCAGGCGGCGGCCGCGGCGCCACTGAAGCTTCGCGAGAACCCCCTGCGGTTTATTTTCAGTTAATTTGCTCAATTGTTTATTTATTTTATTTATTTTATTATTTTATTTATTTTATTCATTCATTTGCACACGCAGAAGCAGCGGCGCGGCCCCGCAGCGGCCCCCAGCAGCGCCGACACTCATCGACAGCAGGGCCCCTGCTGGGCCACCGGCTTCCACGACAGCAGCAAGGCTGCTGCTTGCTGCAGCTTTTTGCTGCGCTGCAGCAGCAAAAGACTTCGAAAACTCTTTAAAGAAGCAGCATTTGTGTCTTGTGGTGCTTTTGGCCCGCGGAGTTCCCCCAAACTTGAGTCTACGGGGCCCCAGCAGCAGCAGCAGCGGTCTGCCGCCCCAGGGCCACTGCTGCAGGCCTCCCCCAAGGACCACTGGTCACCCCCGTGCGTGCCAGTGGCCCTTTGCTGCTGCAACCCCCAGCAGCAGCAGCAGCAGCAGCAGCAGCAGCAGCAGCAGCGTTTCTGCTGCGGCGACGCGGCGAAGTGCTGCTGCGCAGCCCCCGCTGCGGCCCCATGCCTCTTCAACTCTTCTTTTTGCTGCCAAATTAAACTTCAAATTCATCTCTTTCTGAATTAATTAAAAGTACCTTTTGGGGGCCCCCCTGGCCAGGGGCCCCGCCATGGCCTACGCTGCAGCCCTGGGGGGCCCCCTGGGGGCCCCCGAAGCCGCGTTTGACGCAGCAGGGGCCCTGGGGGGCCCCCTGGGGGGCCCCCTGGGGGCCCCCGAAGCAGCTCTGGACGCAGCAGAGGGCCTTTTGCGGCTAAGTCCGGACCTTCCTTACACTCCTTATGCCCCTTCTGGCT